CTTTCGGAATAAAATAAACTAAAATGTAACATGCCCTACAAAAAAATATTTCAATTCCAACGAAAAGTTCCAACGGCAAAAATTTACGTTGGAAATTCCAATGAATATTCCAACAAACTTAATTTTATGTTGGAATAAGTGTTGGATGGTTGAAGAATTCCAACGAATTTTTTTCCGTTGGAATAGTTGTATGAATTTATTTCCATAGGATTTTCGTTGGATTTAAAAAGAGAAAGAGAAATTGAATCATCAAAAAGCGCGCTACAAAAAAATAGAGTTCTAGTGAAGAATTTTTTTGTCACTATGTTGTCACTATATCTACAATTGTTGTCACTATATCTACTGTCAGTATATCTACAATTGTAGATATAGTGACACTATATCTACAATTATTGTCACTATATCTACAATTGTAGATATACTGACAGTAGATATAGTGACAACAATTATTAGACGCATTGTTTGGGGGAATTCTTAACTATTCCAATGACCGTTTTCCCACGAATTTTTATACGTAGGAATATCCGTTGGAATAGCTATTCTAACAAGAAATATATAAGAATTTTTTTTGTAGTGATGAAATTGACTTTCATAATTATTTCATTACATTTTGCTGAAATTATGAAAATGTTGTGGGTTAACTTGCATTCTTTAGGAGACAACGAAGCGCATCTTCATGATAAGATGCTTCATCTATGACCGATAGGTCATGAATTCGAGTCACCAAAGCAGGAAAGTAAGAAAACTATAAATTAGAGTCACAATACTTTTTAATTATTTTTTTTGAATCAAAAGAACTATTTGTATATGAACTATTGTAAGTTCATATACAATAGTTTGTAAAAAGTACTATTGTATACAATAAAAACTTGAATAAAACGAACTATTTGTTTTTGAGTAGTTCTTAATTAAGGGAAAAAAAAAACATGTAAGTTCATATACAATTATTCTTAGTTTTTATTCTCATGGCTTGCAATAATTCTTAATTAATATTAAAAAGTTCATACCTTTTTTTTTATTAATTGAAGCTCTATTTTTCTTCATTTATTAGATACTAACCAAATTAAAATGCTTGTATATATATCTACATATTTATTATTCTTCATTGATTACAAAAGGAAAAGAAAACTAAAATTGAGGCATGGAGAGAGAGAGAGAGAGAGAGAGAGAGAGAGAGAGAGAGAGAGAGAGAGAGAGAGAGAG